AATTGGCCTGTGTGCTGTTGAGTTTGCACGCAAATAAACACGAATTGAATTGAACTGAATTATTATTACAAATATTATGTATATAGACGTTACCCACCGTCTTGTTTCTATTTAAAAATACGTTTCGGAGACTGGAGACAGAATCTAGTCTCCGAAACGTTGTGTTTTTAATTACAAACAGGAGCGTGTTTTGGACAGGATCCAGTGTCCGAAACGTGTTTTTAAACAGAAAAAAAGAACAGCGTTTTAGATAAAAACAGGACGATGGATAATGTGCAGAAACATAACATTTGTATTAATACATCATCGTCACAAACTTCTAAATCTTATTTATTACTATTGCTTCTCTGCCTCAGAAGGTTAGAATTTCTATTTTAGATATAGCTATTTCTATGTTGTGTCTTACTTAAATTGCAGTTAACTGGTGCTGGAATCTTCGGAGATAAACTTCTGGCCCTTAGAGTATTTTGGTCGTCCTCAAAATTAAAGTAGTTTCCGGAAATGATCTTCCGTAACTTGTATACATTTGTTGCCATTCTTTAATAACACAGTCGAAATATGAATTAAATAGAATGAGTTATGAGACAAACCGCCGTCTTACGTCCTTCTTAATCAAAACTGATATTGATTGAATCTATGTCCGTGATGTCTGTTATCAAGGTTACATCTTGTAAATGACACTCAACATTTAGTTTCACTAGATGACGGATTTTGGCTTGTATGATAGTGAATTTAAAAGATTTCTTTTGTGATATAGTATGTTGGTACTCAATTGCAAGAAGAAAACGTAAAATTGATCTTTTAGTTTTGTGCCTTCCCTGTCACATCTTTCGGGATAGCTTAGTCGATATAGAGACGAAATGTGACCTGGACGGCCAGGGTTCAATTTCCAGCAGGAGTAAATTTTCTTCTTTTCTCCACAACGTCCAGGCCGGGTATGAACTCATCCAGCCTTCCATGCGTTGGGTACCGTGGGTTTCTTCCATAGGATAAGGCAGCCGGAGCGTGAATCTGGCCACTCAGTTCCATATAATACAGAAGACAAGAATAATGAATCTATACATTCACTCACTCATAGGTCTTCATGGCGCGCTGCTCAATTGGTTAAGCATAGAATCGACTTTAACTTCTACCTTCCACATGCATACTCTGAACTGCTTTTTTAAATGCATTTCTCATAATTTATGACCATCATATTTATCAAATTTTGTAATTGGTAAGGCTACGTAAGTTCTGGATGGTTAAACTTCCTTTTTCTTCTAATTCAACCATTTTTGGACTCAGTCCTTAAGGTACACGAGCGACCTCATCTAAATTTCTTTTATTCTTCCATCGAAACACCTTCTGTTACTTTATTTATTTGGCTAGCTAATATCCTTCCATATGTTCTCTATCCTATATTTAAATTATCTAGAATAGTAAAATACATAAATTAACCCATTATAAGGCCGAGATATTTAATATTTTGACGAATATGACCGGTATTCACGTCCAGCGAACACACAATAATGGGAGCTGTGTTCTCTGAGCAACATGTTCCAACTATTTTCTAGGTAGCACAACAATTCTGACAAGAGAAAATTGTTCTCTATGTAGTCCGCGCAATGCCCAATGCTAAGCAACGGAGCTGTAAACACACATCCCTAATAGGTGTTTTCTACGTGGTATGTGTCGCGGCTATATAACTAGGATATATTTGTAGCTGCCGGTCACGGTAGTCGAGCGGTCTAAGGCATGTACTGTCTTCGCTCGCTCGGAAACCGGGATCGTGGGTTCCAATCCCACTCAGGGCATGGATATTTAGTTTGTGTGTGTGCGTTTTTCTGTGTTTGTCTACAGGTAGAGGCCTTGCGACGAGCTGATCACCCGCCCAAGGAGTCCTACCGAATGTGTAAGATCTAGAAAAATCGAAAATGAACGGAGAAGTTCATGGAGGTAGGCCTAGGCCCACTGGGACTGTAGTGCCAAAGAAAAAAAAATATTTGTAGCTGGATGAGATTAGAGAATTAGAATTGGAGAATTGTGTCGGGTTCTGGAGAATAGACAGACAAATGTGATTGAACAAGAAATGACAAGAAGACCTCATAGAAGTTTGTAGTGATAGTTCCTGTGACAAATCCGTTGCCAGAAAGAGGATAGAGTGTTCTAGTGATTCGTGAAGTGGGTACATTAGCGGTAGCGCTATAATTGATTGTGATTAAGAGAGATTGTAAACGAAGGTGTTTATAAATCCCATCATTCAATCCAGAACCCGTTATTATTAGTCACGGAACCCCAGACATATAGGCCGCGCCATAACTCAAGCGGTTAGTCGCTGGCTTCCCACCGCGGCGGCCCGGGTTCGACCCCGGGTCTGGTCAAGTGGGATTTGTGGTGGGCAAAGTGGCGCTGGGGCGGGGTTTCTCCAGGTACTTCGGTTTCACCTGCCAATCTTCATTCCACCAAATTCTCCATCATCATAATCACCCGGGGCAAGCTACAATAGGCCAATCAGTGGTCGCCGTGCCGAGTGGACCCAGTTGGACTCCCCCCCCCCCCACCCAACACCANNNGGGAATTTAAAACAGACATATTACAATATTGTCACGTATCCTAGTAACGCGACAAGAAACTGATGGGCTCCGAATTAGGCGAAGCCGTTTTTATTGGACAAGTCGTTCACAATTACAATCACTCAGAAATAGCGTCTTCCAGACGATGCAACCTGACTAGTCTGTAGTCTTCTGGTTCTTAGCTGAGTTGGTTCCTTTTGCTCTCAGCTCTGCTCCGTTCGCCTCTGTTCTAGTTCTGACCTGTTCTTAATTCTCCTTTGACTTGCTCTCAATTCTGACCTCTCTCGGTCTGTTATAACTGACGGCCTAGAAAACACCTTGTTCCAGGGTCCCATTTCACGTGTTCTTTGCACCGGTAGCTAAACGTATTTGTTATCACGGAAAATGCACTAGTTCTGGCTTTAATTTCCGTGGTAACATCTGTTTATCACATGAACCTGTTTCCTTGCCACCCCGACAACAATACGGAACCGTGGATAACGAGCCGTTGCTTAACGATGGACATCCGCTGTGACTCAGATATTCTAGCTTTTAGGCGGCACACCACATTATAAGTCGGCTGTTAACTACGTCCCAAACAACATATCGCATATCCCTTACAAAGATTTTTGGTTAATGACAGAAATCGATGTTTATTCTGAGAATGGAAGGAATTCCGCAGAAAAAACTCTGTGTGCAAAATGGCGTGTTATTTAACCCTAAAGCTCACGGCACACACAGTTATTGCTGTCATACAAAGAGTGAATTGTTAGTGTATATTTTCTGCTGACCTCACCATATACACCCCATCACTCGAAAAGAAGCAGGCGTCATTTGTTCTTCCCGGAACTTGTTATAAGCTAAGAATTGGGAAGAAATAAAATGTATATATAACGTGCATGTAGCTGCACAACTGGCGGCTTCTCAAGAAGGCTTCAGCTTCACGAAGTTAGTTGGTTAGTCAGTCAGTCAGTTAATTATATAACGTGGCGTGTAGACCGTTGGTTGGCAACGACGGGCGAAACAGGCAGCTACACGACAGCCATTGCTAAGTAACGGCTTCACAAACAAGCATGTTTCCACTTCAACGAGATACGTTCTACCACAACGATGAAAGATATGTTTTCTACGCTGTCTGTGTCAAGTTGTTATAACCATGACAAATTACCCGCATGGAGGCGGGCTCGTTTACCTCCACCGGAGCCCTGAGAGTCTTAGGAGGGAACAAAAAGAGAATCAAGTGCGTGGGCGTATACTTGACCACCCTGTTCCCGGGGAATATAAATGTGGGAATCTGACCCTCCAGGTTGGGGAGTCTCGAATCTGAGACAGTAAAATATAATCATGAGTCCCACGGAACTCTGACCCAAGAGTGACTGTTCTAACGAGCACCAGCAGCAATTGTAAACGGCAGATCCGTCCTCTTCAGAGAGGATACTCGACATTAACAAACCTGCAAATTTCTGGCAGTAATAAAAATCTGCTCTTGAGCCCCAGATTGGGGCTTGACATCAAGACAGGCTGGCCGACCTACCGCTGGTAATAACATAACTTTGACTTTTTGATTTACAGTTAGTTAGAGAACTGCTTGGGTTCAGTTTTGTGAGATGTTACTGTTAGAAAATGGTAGCTGAGGGCGGGACAGTTCGGGAAAACAGAGGAAGGGGAACGTCCGCTGTTGAAGCCACCACCAAGCAACGACATCGAAGATGTGACTGTGGACACTAGTGTGGGTGTGTGTATTGGTGAACTGTAAAGTGTAGTCACGAGCTGTATCAAAGTGTGAAATAAAGTGAGTCATCAATCCAAACCCCATCTATCGCTCTGTCACGTGAGAACTGGGTGTCAGGAGTCTTATACATAATTTTCATCCTGAATTCTCATAGTCGCTTCCTATTCTGACTATAACTTAATAAAATTTTTAAATTCAGGCGAGTTCTTTTCTTTGTATAAAACTCGTTATCCAGTCTTTCATAGTTATATATTTGGAGTCCTTAAAAACAGACAGTTTTAATTTTAGTTTAGATAAACGTAGTTTTAAATTTACAGCAGTTATTGAAATATTATTTTCGTTAAATGCGGAACAGGCTGTCTCTGAAACTGAGCTAAAAATATATTTATATATCTCATTTTAGTTTGGACCAGGCAGCACATTATTAAATCCTCGGTCTTCAAATTGTACGGCTTAACTCTGGTACCACTTTTCGCTGATCATAGTAATGAATTTTCTTTTAACATATACAGATCTATAGGGAGGAAAGTATATACTGATTCTGTTTAACGTTTAAAATATTTGGATAAGATTTTTACATAGACCTGTGGAATGAAGAGAAACTATTGTAAAATATTCAGAAAAATTAGACTCAGAATTCCTCATTTTCTAGACAATCTACAACTTTACTCTTTTTCTTGACAAACTTGGCAAATATCGCCCCAATTTGTGAGTAACAAATAGAGATATAAGCTTACCGATGGTGAGAAAGAAGGATCAGCTGGTATAAGCGCCTCTGTCATATCTTCGGACCTGTTCTAGACGTTTAGATGACAACTCAAGTCCTTTCTTCTCATTATGTTGAACAGCTTTTTCGGTTATTTTGTTTGATACAAATATAAAAAGCGTTTGTCATATGAACAATATTCTTGTATTTTTAGTCTTCAGTTTTTCCATCGTAGAAACATCGGGGCACTTGTACGTGCAACGATTGAAGAGATTAATAAACTTTTCTTCCGAATTTTATAAAGAAATATGTAATTCGCCAATGAATTATTTCTATCAGTAACAGCTTCACAGTTCTACCATGCAGCAGTATGTAAACCTTATTGAACGACACTACAATCCGTAAAACTTGGTTCAAATACTATGTCACGATGTCATAGCAGTAAGCGAAACATCTAATCCTCAACGGCCAACTGCAAGTGCGAAACTGGCGGCTCTGAGTATTGGATCTTTATTGATACCAGAACAGAAGTCAAGGGAAGAAGCTGTCGTGAACAAGCTGCTGCCAAAACCAGCAGAACTTAACTTGCTTACGTATAGGAAGCCAGCAGACTAGATAAAAATAAACTTCTCTCGTATGATTTTAAGAAAATTGCCTCGTAGGAACGTTTGAATGCAATTTAATTTAAATTATGTTTATTATCTTTTAAGACGTTTATTAAACTGTGGTAAATAATGATCCTGAACTCGAATATAATTATAACGCAATTTAACAGCACAAACCTTGCAGAAATTTGTTTCAAATTGTTTATTTAAGCAGTCAAATTAGATATTATCGTACAATAAACAAATTTTAGCCGACTCTGTTATACAAACGGATATAGGCCTATGTAACGATAATAACATATTTGTAAAAAAAAAATACTTTATTGCGTCAGGATTTTCAACAGATAATGATAGAAACGTATATTTGGAAATCATCCAAATTGTACCACATGTTCCAACATACTTTGTTTCAAATGTACGAAGTCAATTCGTTCTACGTACAGAAATCAAGAGAAACAAACTAAAGATATAAAAAGGCTTTCAGTCGTGTATTTTTATTTGTAGATGTGCTCACTCATACCTCGTCATTTTGATGGGCTGCTTTTGAAATATGAATCGTTATGGAGAATGTACTATGACAAGTAACGACGCACGCATGTGCCTAGCCTGAGAATTCCATTCTCTACCAAATCTTAGTAACAAGAGCCCATGATACCCCTTCCGTGGGATCCAAACTTGTACTGGACTGCGAAATCAACGAGAAAGGTTTCCACACTCCACTGCAGTGAATTAAAACCCGGCCTAACCAGTTTCTCTTGTGAGAGTATTAGCATAGTTTCGTTTGTCTTAATGGAAGGAAATATATTTGAGGCTGGCCTCTTCCGATATGTGGCTCCGACAGGTTTGGTAGATGGATACCTGCATTTCGGAGCAAACTTCTGCCTGCATCTGCAGATTAGGATAGTTCTTCTACCCTGAAGATGGAAGCATCAGATTCTCCCCAAACGCATATACCCATATATCACACTGCATGACGTCACATACCAGACGACTGTACGTAACCTTCATGCTCAGTGCCTTCTGCAAACGTCACAGGACAACCCACACTTGCTTTCGTAGAATTTCAGGGCAGAATCTCAGTTTGGCTACCAACCATTCTGATGTTTCTCGTGATTTTTCTTAGTCTAGCCAGGTGAATGTCGTTAAGGAAGTCATGATCGCCTCCTTTGATATCCTTACCACTCACCATTAACGATCAACCCCCAATTTTATTCAACGACTTATACTCTGACCTCAGTAGCTGAAAAGCAAGTTGAAAAGCAAATTGAAGCACTGAGAAATGGGAGAAGACTCCTTGAGATTGCTAAGATAGTGAAGAAGAACCAAACAACTGATGGCTTCTCAAGAAGGACTCAGTTCCATGGAGTTAGTTAGTTAGTTAGTTAGTTAGTAGGTTTGTTGGTTTGTTTGTTGGTAGCTCTACTCCCCAACACGTCTTCGTGCTGAATCAATTAAGCACAGGATTAACTTTACCTTACTTTTACCTTACATATAAGGTAAAGTTAAAAGGATCTGGTAAACCGAAGTGAAACGGAGAGCTTCATGGCGGTAGGCATAGGCCCAAATGAGGGCTGTAGCGCCAATGAAAAAAAAAAAAAGTTAAAAGTACTCGTATGTGCGTCAAAACACACAAGTACTCAAACTCATATGCACCTATGGAATTCAGCTAAGGGAACAGCCTCCAATTCCAAAATTGAAATCCTCCAACGCTACCAATCCCAGACTCTCCAACACATTCTGAATGTATCTTGGTACACAAACAACAATAGGATCCATGAAGATCTACAAATGAACACAGTGTTCAGTGAAATAAAAAAGTGAAATACAAAATACTTAAGAAAATTAGAAAAACACACTATTGCAACAGCAGTGAGCCTACTAGACAATAGCAAAACTGGGCATAGACTGAAAACATACATCGTCCTAACTCTACCAGACAGACCTCAGTAAAACCCCAATAAACGAATTAAAACGATGCTTACGAGTAAATGAACAAAAATAAAAACGAGTATATAAGTTACGCCACTGGGCATAACTCATTCACGAGTCAGAACTTATTGAACATATATATTTATTGCAGATTCCGCAGATTGTGTGTAATAAATGTGTGAAAAAAAAAAACACACACAGTGCAACATGAATTTTGTAGCGTGTCAGCACCCTTCTATCTTCTAGTGGTTCATCAATTATAATCGTGCCTAGGTTGTCTAGGTTTATCCTGAGTCTGTGATTACGCAACACGATTAACTAAAACGACCGTTGCTAAGGAGTCGAAGAACCATATCTATTTTCATCTCTTCGCACTTATTTCTAATGTTGCCCTAAATATGCTGCAATTTTTAATGTTGCCGAGAATGTTTCTCTTACTATACGCCTTCGCAGACCTGAGGGTCTCCTATTGAGTTCTCCTGGTTCGTATCTCAGTTCTTCCGCTGTCTCTATATATGGAACAAATAGGGAACAGGTGGACAGATTTTCATAATATTTTGCAAAGGAGAATTTTACGAGAAACTGTCGAGCAACTTCAGTATTCATTTAAATCTTATTTGTGTTACAGTGGCGTCACATGAAGATCCTACATGCACTTTTGCATGTATCTTGAAAAATATTAATCGAAATCTGTTTCGAACAAACATTATGCAGAAGAGGCTACGCAAATTATATCCAATGCACTTATCCGAAAGTCTTTGCGGTTTTTAAGATAATCACACGAACCGGATGTTTTCGAGTATATTTTTTTCAATTTTCATATTAAGCACTCTATCATAGCTTCCAGAACACCATCGCAATTAAGAAAGGAAAAAAGCAAAATGAATTGGTTGACGGTGCATTAAAATCATTTTATTTAATTATTTTGATATACTGTTCTATACTGTTGGTTGAGGAGCTATGCCACAAGCCGGAAGGTCGCGGGTTCAATTCCCGATAAGGTCATTTGATTTTTTTTTCAATTGACCTAATCCTACCAGCCGCATTATGACCCTGGGGTTTACTCAGCCTTTAACAGAAATGAGTACCAGGAATTAATTTAATAATTTTCCTGGGGAGTAAAGTGCGGCTGGCGCGTAAGGCTGACAACCTTACCTTCATCTATCAGCCGATTGTCTAGATAATGTGGGAGCCTCAACGTCTCACAACCCTATGGGCCTTCACGATTTGTTACAGGGATAGCTTTAATTTACTTTTACTGTTCTATTACTTATATGGCACTGACGCATATATTAAAAATATAAATTTCGTTTAGTTCGTGTTTGTTGCAAGGAAAAAATTAATCGTAGTCTGAAGTACTGCATTTATAATTGCAGCCTGCCGAACACACCTGCTAGGTGTACACTCAGGATTACTTGGTTTCGGACTTTGTCCATCATCCGGTATTCTAGAAACTAGACAACTGAATTGAGGTTAGCTCTTTCTAAGGGAGCCAAACAGAGTTGATGCCTTCTTCCCCTCACCTTAAGATAGAAATAGACCCAGTTTCCGAAATATTTTGTTATCTCATTCCTGGAATATCGGACGGTAGACAAAATTAAAAACCCAGCAATTCTGAATATTACACACCATCGTCAAAACCCTTAAGATCTAGATGTGCACTGTATGCTATTACAATGTTGTTTGTTCACTGTATGAAGCCAAGATTGCTTTCCGTTCAATAATTTATACATCCCCTAAGTTGGCTTTGTTGAAAATAGGAATCTTAGAAATACGACTTCCGGGTGGCCTCGAGTTGCATGAACTTCCTGCTAAGTCCCATACACATCCGTTCAACGAGATTACCGCTGCTGTCATAACACACAGATCGACAAGCAGAGAAATGGGCATGGCTTCCACATATGTAGGGCCTAAGGCTTATTTATTTTGTTTTTCTTAACCTATCAAGGACTGTGATTACTACTTAACTGTCTATTACATGCTTTAACATGAAAATTCGCAATTTTTCTACAATGTATTTATACCTTTCTAATGTTTCTCAAAATAAAGGGTTATTATCATCCAAAACGGCATTTTCTTTGTAATGGAGACAGAACATGTTTGCTGTGAGGTAGAAACTCAGATAAACAGTGAATATGTGCTTAAAGATTATTCACCGATTGCTCTTTGTAGCGTAGATGAAATGCGTTTCTTATGAGGTGAAAATTAATTTTGAAGTATTCTTTAAATTGATAAATATTGCCACGTGTATGGGTTGTGAGTGACTTATAAAACGGGTTCTGGATTGAATGATTGGATTTATTGACACATTTTACACACACCTCGGGACTACAGGCAATTACAGCGCTATCGCTTTTTCCACATTTTACAGTTCATCGTTGCACACACTGGGGTTCTCAGTCTTCACTAGTCGTAACCTAGCAAAGGATTTGTAACAGTCTCACTGTCACTTCAAATTCCTCTCTTGCTGCTATTCTGCAAGTGCCAATTCCGAAGACTCGATTCAATCCAATTCCTCTACTCTCATGCTCATATCCTGACAGGCTGGTGTCTCTAAACTCGACTAAACCTTCTCAACTGAATTCTTCTTCATAACAACTTTGCACGGACCACGCAGAAAATACGGGCTTCCTATTGTTGAGAAGGTGTGTTTACAGCGCCGTTTCATAGAAATGGAAGTTACATGATTGTTGCTTGCGTATTCATTGCCGCGGCATTGTGTTTACCGAGTCGTTGACTAACAACGAACGTTTATTCTGACTTCACTATTCCGGCTTTCGGGCGTCATGTCACAATATCATGTAGTGATGTTGATTCGATATTAACATATAAGGCACACGTATCCTGTCTTCTGCAAAAACAAACTGCATCCTGTCTTAAACAAATCCTCCATAACTGATGCTGACAGAGAAGTCCATCCATTGAAACGAGGTGTATTTTTTTATTGCTAGCGGGGTGGGACTAAGTCCCTTGTACTGCGGCCACTTCTGGCCTATTGTACCAGCCCCAGATGATAGGTGAGGGCGATTGTGGAGCAATTGGTGGAATGAAGATTGGCAGGGGAACCGAAGTACTCGGAGAAAACCTGCCCCAGCGCCAATTTGTCCACCATAAATCCCACTTGACCAGACCCGGGATCGAACACGGGCCGCCGCGGTGGGAAGCCAGCGACTAACCGTTTGAGCTATGGCGCGGCCTAAACGACGTGTAAGGAACATTCCCAGATAGGTAAGTCTGCAGTGGCAGAACACAGCAATGAACTGGGCCATTGGATCGGGTTCCGGTAGACCGAGGTACTAATCTAAACATCGGGCTAAATGGACCGACTTGTTAAAGAGGCAACAGAAATAATATTATATCTAACAGCATTGAGGAGTCGGGGATAGCGTGGTCGGTATACCGACGGGCTACTGACTGGATGACCGAAGTTAGATTCCTGGAAGGTCGCGCCATAGCTCAAGCGGTTAGTCTCTGGCTTCCCACCTCGGCGGCCCGTGTTCGATCCCGGGTCTGGTCAAGTGGGATTTGTGGTGGACAAAGTGGCGCTGGAGCAGGTTTTATCCGAGTACTTCGGTTTCCCCTGCCAATCTTCATTCCACCAATTGCTCAACAATCACCCTCACCTATCATCTGGGGCTGGTACAATAGGCCAGAAGTGGCCGCAGTACAAGGCACTTAGTCCACTCCACTAGCAATAAAAAAAATAGATTCCTGGAATCGCAGCATCCAGAACGGCCCACCCAACCTCCTCTCCAATGGGTATTAGGGGCTCTTTTCCCAGGGGTGAAGTGGCCGAGGCATGAAGCTTGCCACTCGCCTCCGTCTAGTGCCGAGATCAGGAACTGTGGAGCCAGACCTCTGCCTCATACATCTTCGTGGCGTAGTGTTTAATTATTTGTGCACAGGGACAACTTTATCTTTACTTTACCCAAATTGAATTAACATAGAGGAAGGATTCAGTCGTAGCAGAACATGGAATTCCAATGCAGGCTAAGTGGGACATACGCAGGGAACAGCATGTTAAACGGGAGACAGACTCTAGTTCACAAACCTGAACATCAAATTAAGTGACATGGTGACGGTCTTAGTCGGATGGGTGACCGCATAATTTCTCTGTCCTCCAGTCACGTAGCGTGCCAGTAGGACGAGGCCACTGGCAGTTTGATATGTACGTGTACTTCGGCGAGGTACCGACATTCATTACGTCAGCCCCGATGGTGGAGCCGAAGGAGATCTCTGAAACGTTGATTCTTAATTCATTATTGACGTGGCTGATTGCCCAAGAAAATTTGTTATTATATTTATTTGCCGTGAAAGCTTCAAATCTTACAGATAGGTTAAGCACTACACTGCAACAGTTGCTCAAAATTACTGTGCCTGTGGGGGGGCACGCGGTAGCATAGTTGGTTGAGGCACTATTCTACAAGCCGGAAGGTCGCGGGTTCGATTGCCGATGAGGTTATTGGATTTTTTCAATTGACCTAATTCTTCCAGCAGCACTATGGCCCTGAGGTCGACTCAGCCTCTAAAGAAACGAGTACCAGGAATTTGCCGGAGCGTAAGGCTTACCTCACCGCCAGCTGTGAGCCGATCGTCTAGAAGGTGTAGGAGCCTCGATGTCTCACAACCATATAGACATTCACGGTTTGTTACAAGGTTAGTTTTTTTTTTGTTGCTGTACTTGTGGGTATGTTCCTTCACAACTCCACACCCAAGCGCTAACTGCTGGACATTGAAGAATGAAAGCTTTCTCATGCAAGTCTATCTCCTGATGGATACTTCAGTGGATGACTACAGTCATAATGGTTTTAAAAATGACAGAACTGCTGAGAATATATTTAGTACAAAAAAAAATAGTTCTAGCAATTCGATAGGACACTCTTACAAAGTTCATCTCGCCCTGATGTCCACTTCTATGATCTCCTTCTTAAGTTTCATGAAGAGATTTCGTCAATTTCGATTGTCATACCAGGCCCTTCATTAACCAACGTTGTTTGCTACAATTTCTTCGCACACGGAGGTATTTTGGTTCATGCCCAACTAGTTTGTGTACCATTCAGTCCATGTCTGTTTCTTTGCCCAGCCATACATAAAGGGGATTCTGGTGTCAGCGAACCAGCTATCCAAACGAAGTCTGACTTTCTTTTGATGTTCTTTGATGGTGCAGCTCCCCTAGATATCAGTGCCAAAGTAGGAGTTTGTTTGGTTCTCATTAGGACACCTGCATTGTAGGTTAGATATGTCCATCATAAAAGAAAATAAGAGCATTGCACCCAGTTGCAATATAATATTACATGCAGAGTTTTAAAATTACTTGTGTTTTATTTTCAGAGAAGTAGTATTTATTTTAATTCATAAATGACAGTTCGCGATATGCTTACAAATTAAGAAACAGTTCTTAAGAGCAAACTCAGTTCAACAACTTTTTGGAAGAAATGCATCTGACAGCTGTGTCAAACCTCAACACTAGAGATTTCCATAGAGTATCAATAAGTTTCTGAACCAAGGATTATTACTACTACTGCCATACTCACATTCAGTTCCTTCAGTTCTGTATTACTGGAGCCTTTAAATTAAAGTTTGTGTCTCTGCTTTTGAGGTACATTTAAACATCTATCGGATACCGGTACATATTTCCATTATATCTGTTTCTGCTAAACAAAAAGTGAACGATGCTTGATGTACAAATGCTGGAAACGTTCTTATAGCAATAAACTATAGCTAATGTATTAAAAGTGACACACTTGTCAAAAAATTTAACTTTGTAATGATTGGTGAAAACCCATTTAATTTATGGTACATGGTCTCGATGCTAATTCTGGGGCTGCAGTAGAGGCAGGGCAATGACCTGGAGCTTTCTTCAGTGCTGGGGCAATGCCCTGGTGTGTCTTTTAGATATGATGATTTCAGGCATAGGGAAAGGTTAATAAAACCTCTCCTTGCTACTGTTTTCATAAAAAGGATAAGTATGAAAAATTACTATATCTGGGGTTTGCATAATAAGATGGGTTTTTGGATTTGATGACCGAATTTATCGGACCTTTATACAACTGGTTAGAACGGTTCACAGATCACTATGTGACACACTGTCATCTTCATCTGAATGGACACTCTACTGGAACTATTCTGACTTCCAACTAAACTGTCAATTATTGCTAGCTTCTTATTATACAGATTTGGGTGAGACCACAGCACAGAAAACACATCCGTTGGCTAGCAATGGATATATGTGAATCCACCCTGAAAACACCTTTTGCAACACTGGTTCTTTTGTTGTGTGCATGTATTGTGGGCATTGCCAAGAAATAGGTCTACTCTATTGTTGGTTGCGTATTTGTTGCAGGCTTGTTTACTGAGTCATTTAATACAGTGGGTCCGTATGTCACAATATGTATTGGTATTATTCATTTTAAATGGTCTACTTTAAGTGTCTTTGTTCAGTTTACCTATTAACCAGCAGTTTCATAAATAACATAATGGAATCATGATAGACAAATGGAAGCAAAAGGCTCACAATTTGTAGATTCCTTAATTCTTGTAAACTGGATACAATGCCAATTTCAAATTAATGGGTATCCAGTACGGAAAAGATACTAATAAATCATAGCATACTTCTCAACAGCAGCAGCAATTAGTGCATATTTTTATTCTATGAAGTTTGGTATCTTTCCAGAACTTAACTTACCGTGGTTGGGAACTTCTGATGAAGTTTGCTGTTATAGGCAGAAAATGTTGCATGTGCACAGAAACTGTTTTCTTAATACCCATAGACGTTATGCTCTAAACTCAGTGATGTTGATATGTTAACAGAGTTTATGTCAGTAGTCAAATAAATGTGGTATTTGAATATCATGTGTCTAAATGTTACTCAGTCAAAGCATTTACTTTTCTTGCATCTATTAAGTTGACACTATTTAAGTAGAAGAACTAAAAACATAGCTTTAAAGTAAAAATTATATTTCAGATTAAAGATAAAGTACATGTTTGTTCACAAAAAAGGCAGCTATCGCTGCATATATAAAAGTATTTGGCAAAAGTAATTTTAAATTCTTTCACATCAAGCAGTCTTTGGAAGCAGACCACAAATATGTTCAAAGTTGCAGCCATTCAGACTTTCCTTGTATTGCTCCTTCAGAACATTTAATGGACATAATTCAGCTTCAGGACAGCCAGGTAAAGTAACAGGTCTCTCTTGATGTAAGGTCAACACCTTCAGTTGTTTATTGCACCTAGAATATAACATTTTTATTTTTATTATGTGGCTCTGTTAACACAAATATTTGTATAGATATACAATACACTATAATTTTACTACTGTTTCAGCCTTTTGGCTATCGTCAGGTATTACCACAAATTACATGCATCTTCAACTCATCTGCTGTTCTTCTCTGCATTGGCCAACGTTTTTATTGGGAACATTTTTCTATGAGTTGTTGTGTTTAGCATATAAACGTTACTTTAGAGATCACAATACAAAACAGTAACATTTTCTCATTATGAAACACACTTAAGACCCATCAAATTAATGCAACTGTTGAAGGTTCCTCATTACATACCAGGTTCTGCTTAACTGATGTTTACTGAAACTGTCATTATGCTCTGACACCCTTAATTGTTCGTTTCTTGATTTAAATTAGCAAATTTCCTTAAATGATAGAAGTAAACAAGTAAAACACTGACCCCCATAATGTAATGCTATAACTGTTTACAGTCCATTTACAATTAGAATTATTCAGATGTTTATACTCATAAGATTTAAACACTGTGTAGTTTGAACTGCAAATTAACCACGGTCTGAATTATCTTCTTGGTTGGGGACTGACAATTCCTTCTGATTATGCTGAATATTAAATTTGTCAATATTGAATTAGGGTTTTATTGTAATATATAAAGGACTCTGCTAGTAATATCTATTTGTGAAGGACCAAATTTATCCTCTTTTCCTTTTCTTTTCAATATTAGTATTTTGACACAATACAGCAGAACCTGAATTTTCATTTCAGTGAAAAGCAGAGTATGATGCATTAACAGACATTTCACTGTAATAAATATTTCACCAAACTGTTTAATTTAATATATTCTAACACGCAGATTGTAATTATTTATCTTTGGTACCATCTTTTCAGGGATGGGCATTTTACAAATCATATTACATTTGTAATCATTATATCAGTCCCATATTCATAATGTTTACAGCTTAAAGTTGAAGTCAGGTGTTAGACTGCAACAACTAACTTCACAATTTGTGAAGTCTAAATGAATTTATTCTTGGTCTTCTTCAAGTACTGGCACATTTTATGCCCCATCATTATTGCAAAGCACCATAATCCATTTCCTCTCCTATAAAAACAAATCCCTGCAAAGTGACTGACACTAGTTCAGTAGTGTCATAGCACAGACAGAGTAAGTGGTGGTGTTGCACAATTCAATATAGTAATTGCCAATTGATTTTAGATTACCTTATGATGCCATTTCAATTGCACAGGTTACACAGCATCAAATGAGATCGAAAGATTATCAAGAATAATAAATAGGCATGGATCTTGAACGAGGCATAAGTTGCTTATTTGAAGGTACAGCCCAAGAATTCACCTTGAGAGATTGAGGAAACCCATAACTACATGCCAAGATAACTGATGGCACAGCCAAGATTCAAACCAGGGACCTCTTGTATATAAATCTGTTGTCACTACCACTGCAGCCACCGCCGCCACCACCAGGCCAACAACAATGGTGGCAGTAGTGATGGTAATGACAACAAAGACGACAACAATGATGATGGTGGCAGCAGCGGTGGCAACGATGGCAACAACAACAACAACAACAACAACAACAACCTTCTCAGTATATAAGTAATTAGGTAATTAATTATTCTACTACATGCTTGCTGAGTATCCATCATATGCCAACCAATTTACATTTTACTTTGAATAAAATCTCTCCTTCAGCCATTCATTAGTAGCATGAAGTATACAGGTAATGAAGAAAATGATGGACTGGTTTTTAAGTACATAACATAAAAAGCACACACACCTGAAAAGTACAAAGGCTAAGTTGGATCCAAAGCTGTCAATCTGACTAACTCTCCATTTTCTGTAACTTCCCATTGTGTTGAAGTTAGTATGAAGTAACACATTTTCATCCTTGTACAGGCCAAGGTGAGCTAGCAACTTCAGTATAGTGCCAGAGTGAGTGAAGTACACCACAGCCTGAGCTCTAGGCTCTCCTCCAGGCACTTCTTCTGCACTAAAATATAATTTATGGACACAATACATGATGATAAACAGGCCTTCAAACACACAATTATATGGTCATGAAAAATAAATGATATATATATACTGATAAATATAACATTAGTTTGCAGNCACTAGATGATATGGAAGTCTAAGGACAATGAAGCGAGTACAGTGCGAAGTCAGTGTAATCATAACCTTCGTCGAGAATGAACGTTAGCTGGCTGGAACAGCGCTGTTATGTGAAAATAGCAGTGTTTCGCAGCAGCAATGCGACTGAATGTCACTCAGAGCTTGTGGAAGCTCTGGGTGATCGTGCTCTACCATACAGAACTGTTGCAAGGTGGACAGAAGCATTCCAAAGAGGAAGAGAAGCAAGTGCCAACTTGCAATGTAGTGGATGACCTGTGTCCATTCGTACCGATGTTTCTCTTGCTGTGATCGCCCAGGGCATGGAGAAAGATGGTGCTGGTCTCTGAAGGAGTTAGAGAGATACAGGGATTGACCAGGCAACTATGCATAACTTACGTCGTGCAATTAGGAATAAACGTCCTGAACTGCTTAACAATGCCATCATCCTTCGCGACAGTGCAACCGCCCACACAGCAAACAGTGTCAAGAACCGTTTACGATGTTGGAGATGGGAAGTACTACACCATCCTCCATGTTAACCCGACCTTTCGCCATGTGACTATGATGTAATACCTAAACTGAATCAGCCATTGCAAGGGAAACACTTTCGTACACGAGAGGACATTTCCAACACAGTGCAGTGTGAGATGACAAGATTTGGAGATGGTGAAGCTGATGGTATTCGCCATCTTCCTCATCGCTGGCAGTGAGTACTTGATACACTTGGAAATTACTGTGAAGGTTGCTAGTCATAATGTAAGAATTCAGATTTAACTCAAATTGATTTTTGTATTTCTTAATCACAACTGAATTTTTCGAGGATTAAAGAATGAAAAAAAGAACAGCCATTCTGTAATGTGCAATTTTTCTTGCCTACTATACCTATGCTCCTTTACATCTACCTGATCTGACTAAGCCAATCGGAGGGGTAATGTAATGTAATGTAATGTAATGTAATGTAATGTGTTTGCCCAAAAAAATTAGCTGCCATGACTTTTGAAGTAATAATGAATTATGAGCTTCTAACACACACAGTACACATTTTCATAGATGTGATAAAATTTCGTGTCTAGCCAAATTTACTGGTCATATGTTCACACATAGTAAATTTGGCCAGATACTTATTATCACAAATTTTTAAGTTCTGGCGATAGTCCTTATGTCTTAGTGATTTTTAGTAGATGTATAACACACACACACACACACACAAGAAATGGTTGGGTCACTCAAGCAAAAGATCTTGATGATTTTTCTGTCCAGTCATGCTGTGGAGATAGACTGCTAGTGGAATCAACAAGACTACAGCCTAACAAATAAACCTCATCCAAATTACAGCAGATGCTGGAATTATTCAGGTAAATGTTCAAGCCCAGCATCAATTTGACTCGGAGAGGGGGGAACTAGAGGAAACCTAAACTGAACTGCCAAGTGCTCACTATTCAGGAATTAACAACAAAAGGGCACTAGATTTTAGAGTCTCTGAGCACAAAAGTCAAGTCACTCTTTGTTGCTCTTTAGTGTAGTCTATCAGTGGAGCAACCACGTTAAATGTGTCACAGCATCATTATGTTGTAAGGGAACAACAGAGTATGCCAAGGACCCTGACAGCTATACTAGCGGTAGCGTAGCTACTGGCAGGGCCTCCCTTGCTGGACAGGTCAAAGGGTAGGCAACAAAGAGAGAGACCAAAAACCAAAAACTGATGCCAGAAGCAGCGTCATCAGCAGGGACTTGAAACACAGAGCAAATGATGCTTGAGGTGGTTCAAGTTCGTATAGCAACAGGCGTGACCAGAGTGGTTTGAACGGTTGTTGTACTGCGATGTGGAAAGCAAATGGAAAAACTACCACATTATCACTTTTCCTGGATAGTCTCTTTCCAAAAACAGAGACACCATGTATGCGAACCGGAAGACGAGGAAGAAGACGTAAGAAGATGCTGGATGACCTTGGGGACAGAGGAGGATATTCTCATTTGAAGGAGAAAGCTATAGATCAAATTAAGTGGAGGAACTGTTTTGGAAGAGACTGTGGACCTGTCGTCTGACAGATTACTGATGAATGAATGAATGAATGAATGAATGAATGAACAACAGAATGAGGAGCAGAGAACAAAATCAAAATATTGTCAAGTGTAAGGTGGTATGTGTAATGAAACTAATAGGTTTACTTACTTACATAGTTGTGGAATGGATATGGACTTACAGTAAACATATATCATGTGACTTCTATACAGCCAGTATATTGGCACATCAGTTGGATCTATAGAAAACACAGCTTCCTCTATCGTTGCATGTCAGTCCATGTTTACAGAGTGGTTGCCTGGCAATGCGCTGGTCAAATCTGTTACAATATACTGGTTACAAGAATGTAAAGAGATGAAGCACCAAGAGTTACAGAAGAGGACCAAACTGTTGCACTTATGAGGGAAAGGCCTTAAAATACTGTACAACAGACATAGTACAGGAAAGTATCATTGGCAACATTCAGAACATTTATATATGAAAAGTGTCAATGATAAAGCAGCTAAGACATAAAAGATAAATACTTTCAGTTCTAAAAATGTAACTGTAATGAGAACATAATTCTTTAAGGAATTAATGTAATTTATTTCTGTGTTCTAACTCATATTTTACTGATATATTGGGTTTTTGGACTTTATCCATCGTCCTGATTTTTAAGATAACTAATAAAAACACGACATTTCGGAAACTGGATCTGTTTCCGTCCTCAGGTGAAGGAAAACACCTGTTGGGTCCGTTAGAAAGAGCTAGCCTCAACCACTGGACGATGGATAAAGTCCAAAAACCCAATATATCAGTATGTTATACACCATCATCAGAATCCTATAGTAACTACTCATATTCTACTCTTTTGTCAAGTTTTATGATCTACAATTAGATACATACTGTCACATGGCAGCTGAAAGACCGAAATGGTGGAGACAGAAGAGATGGCCGTCACTAGGGAACAGCCGATAAACATGTTTGCCTAGCAACATATAAGCACACAACAATAGAGGAATTTTTGTAAGCAGTGTGTTCTATGCAGTCCATGCTGAGGTTATATAGTGAGAGCCATCAGAAGAAGGCAGTCATAGTTGAGAATGTGAGGCAACTGTGGCCATGAGGAGTTGTGAGGGAGCTGCTGGTCAGTGAGGATAGAAGCTACTGAACATGTAAGCTGGAGAATTTGCATTGTTGGGACAGGGAGCCGTTACTAGGCACCCACTAGTGAAGACAGAGAAGACTTAGTGTTTGCTGTAGTGAGAAACTGAATGCGTGAATTAGTTACAGTGCTATAATTATTTATAGTTATGATTTCGAAGAGCTCAATAAATAAAATTACCAGTCCAAAACACATGTCTAGTCACTAAATACATGACAATATTGATTACTTTTTATAACTCACAGAAAATGTTGCATCATATCTTTCACAGGTGGACAGGCTTGTCTGTATGTGATGTTGTACCCATATCCATCAATCCAGTAGTATTCCAAATCTTCTGTGTACTCAAAAACCTGCAAAAATGATATCATTATCACAACATATTAGAAAATCTGCATGTGACAATACTGAAAGAACTGAAACTTACACAGAGTTCCTTTTCCTCAGCCACATTACTGAGCTGGGTGACCATCCACATGTCTACACATCTGTTTGGACATCCTTTGATTCACTCACAGACATTAATATTACAAACAATGATTGCTGTGGGACTTTGTATGAACATTGATCCACTGAAGAGCTTGCCATCATGTTACCTTCCTGTCATCAACAACAGCAAAATGGCAATTGGAATTACCTCGCAATGTAAGTGAAACTGAAACTATTTAGTCACATCTGTATCATGGCCAACGCCCATTCTAAACCTCTTATTATAAATACCTTCATATTTTTTTATTAATTCAAATATCAGGCTGAAATGTTAAATTTATATTCATTTTTTAACTATAGTGTTACTAGTATTTATCAATTATAACGTGATTAATCCATAAAGTTAAAGTTCTTAACATTCTACCATAAGTACCCAAAAGTTCAACACTTTTAACACCAAAGCCTGCCAATGAAATGATCTAAGTCCAATTTCACACACCTCCCATTCTCACAACCTAATTCCTTAAGATAAATCTTAACTTCATCCTCCAACCTCCTAAGTCTACAAGGTAGTTATTTTTCAAGATGTTCCCCCACTAAAATCCTGTATGTATTCTTCGACTCGCCCATCCTACCTACATGCCCAGCCATCTGAATCTTCCTAGAGTTTACTCTCTTAACACAGATTCACTACACAAATGTGACACATACAGAATTCAGAGCGGAGTCTGTTTCATACAATAGTATAAAAAAGAAGTTCATATCAACTATTAACATTACAACATTTTGACATCTTTACCTTCATGTTACTTTCTGAAAATGCAGCACACCATGGAGAATGTGCACGATGATCCCAAGCTATCTCAAATGAACAAGTAATATATAAAATAACAGCATCACCTGAAACAAATATCTTTCCTATAATCTTTAACACATCTTTCATCCTTACAGCAGCAAAAAATAGCTGTACTACAGTCACTGATTACTCACCAATACTAATGGTTTCACTGAATCCCAAACGAAAACTGATATCTTTCAGTGCAGCAGACATTTCTGGTCCCTCCTCAAATTTCATTCTTTCTGACAAAGAATGTGGATTTTTATCTACTTCTAATCGCCATTTTTGGCATAATTTATAAAACTGCAAATAATGTAGTTTAATATTATTTATACTGTTGATTATTTACAGCTATATAATCAAGGGTAAGGCAAGTAAGGCTTCCACTTCATATGTAATCTGAAAGGGGGCACAAATATTCAACAAGGTGTTATTCTGATGATACACTTATCATTTATATTCATGTCCTTATCCATATAAAAGACGTAAGAAGATGCTGGATGACCTTGGGGACAGAAGAGGATACTGTCATTTGAAGGAGAAAGCTCTAGATCTCAATAAGTGGAGGAACTGTTTTGGAAGAGACTGCGGACCTGTCGTCTGACAGATTACTGATGATGATGATCCATATACAGAAATACTATTTGAACTTTAAAAACTTGATGAATATCTGTCAAATTATTACAATTTTGTTTTTCCCTATGGCTCTACAGCCCTTTGGACCTTGGCCGCTTTTTCAGTTTCTTAATCCTATACACGGTAAGTAGGACTCCTTGGATGGGGGATCAGCCCATTGCAAGGCAACTACCTACACAAAGAACAACACAAACTCAGAATAAACGCACACAAATATCCAAGCCTAAAGTGGGATTCTAACCCATAATCTCAGTGTTCAAGTGGGTGAAGACAGTTCAACCATCGAAGTACAAACTATGCCCAATGTTGCTTAACTTCGGTGGTCAGATCAGAACTGGTGTTTTAAACATAGTATGGCCATTGGAAAATATTACCACATTACAAAGTGAGGTGGAAAAAGCTATCAAGGAAATGAAGAAGAGAAAGGCTACAGGAGATGATATACCTGGAGATGTGTTCAAGTTACTGGGAGAAGGTGGTTTGAAAACACTGACAAAACTAATGAACACCATATATGAAAGTGGAGAGTGGCCCAAGGACTTTACAGAAGTTACAATGATTGCCTTAAAGAAAAAGACAAAAGCTACAAAATGCAGCGACCATCGCACAATAAGCCTTACTGCACATACAGCAAAGATAATAGCAAAGATACTTAAAAAAAGAATTGAAAGGAAAATAGAGGATGTACTTGGAGAAGATCAGTTTGGATTTAGAAGAGGAAAAGGAACCAGGGATGCAATTGGGATGATGAGAATTATAGCGGAACGAACTTTGGAGATAGATGAAGAACTGTGTGTTTGCTTCATAGACTGGCAGAAGGCATTTGACCGGGTAAACTGGACCAAATTAATGCAGATCCTGAAAGAAACAGGTATCGATTGGCATGAAAGAAGATTGATTAGCAAATTGTACATGGATCAGAAAGTTAGAGTACGACTGGACAGGGGGGAGACAGGAAGTGTGCAGATTGGAAGAGGAGTTCGACAAGGATGCTGTTTATCACCAATTCTGTTCAACTTGTACAGCGAATGCCTTACCAAGGAAGCTCTGGATGGGCTCGGTGACTTCAAAGTAGGAGGGCAAATTATTCAAACTGTGAAATATGCAGATGACCTTGTGTTAATGGCTAAGGAAGAAACTGTGCTACAGGGCATGATTGATAGACTAATTGAAATTGGAAGGTGCTATGGCATGGAAATGAATGTGGAGAAAACAAAAGTAATGAAAATTTCGAGACAACCAACCCCAGTCACAATAAAGATAGACCAAAAACAACTGGAGAATGTGAAATGTTTTAAATATTTGGGTAGCTTGTTAACAGATGATGGAAGGTGTACTAGTGAAATTAAATCCAGGATTGCCATGGCAAAAGCTGCATTTAGCAAGAAGAAGAATCTTTTTACCAGCAAATTGGACTTAAATTTGAGGAAGAAACTAGTGAAATGCTACATTTGGAGCATAGCTCTGTATGGGGCTGAAACATGGACACTTAGGGCAGTAGATCAGAAACATCTGGAAAGTTTCGAAATGTGGTGTTGGAGAAGGATGGAGAAGATCAGTTGGACCGATTATGTGAGAAATGAAGAAGTGTTAATTAGAGTCAGTGAGCAGAGGAATATCCTACACAAAATAAGAAAACGGAAGGCTAATTGGATTGGTCATGTTTTATGCAGAAACTGCCTTCTAAAAGAAGTTATCGAAGGAAAGATAGAGGGGCAGATAGAAGTGACAAGAAGATGAGGAAGAAGACGTAAGAAGATGCTGGATGACCTTGGGGACAGAAGAGGATGCTGTCATTTGAAGGAGAAAGCACTAGATCGCATTAAGCGGAGGAATTGTTTTGGAAGAGACTGTGGACCTGTCGTCTGACAGATTACTGATGATGATGAATATGCAAAATGTAACAAAACATGGAATCCAGGCTGTTCTTAGACTGGTTAGCTATAGAAATTTGTTTGCCCACACCCGCCCACTGCTGGCTGCCTAACTACCGCTTGCTGGCTTATCTCAGTAGAGCTGCCTGTTTAGGATGGTTAGCTGTCCTTGAGATACATACAAATACAGTTTACAGTGTTGGGAAATATACTGTTCAAAAATTAAATACATTTTCTTTAAGTGCATCCTGTTGTGTTTATTATCAAAGATCTGTCAAGGATTCTAATAAAGATTTCTTTTATTAAATACAGTGTTGACAGAAATTATTCATACATGATTCCTTCATACAGTGTTCCTCATGGATAAAGTGCTGCACATCTGACAGTGTAAGCCATGCAAAGTAACAATTCACAATATCATGATGCACGCATACTTCTTACTACCATAAATTAAGATTGGCACTATGTGAAAACAGCCCACCTCTTATTACCACACAACTTTTTGTAATCGTAATTGTAATAAAAATACGCTGCATATTTGAGATGTCCTTGATTTAAACACTGTATTCCAAAGAAATGATAATGGTATTATCTTTTTAGTTGAAACAAACAAACTTTTCTGACATTTCTCATGAACATCCCTCCTTACTCTTCTACAGGTCTGATCAAGCTTACTGCCTTTCGGAGGTGATACAAGCAGTGTCATAGCTCAGGCAGATAGTTGCCAGTTTCCCACCACAGTGGCCCATGTTTGATCCCAGATCGGCTCATGTGGGATTTGTGGTGGACAAAGTGGCACTGGGGTAGGTTTTCTCTGAGTACTTTGATTTCCCCTGCCAATTCTCATTCCAAGATCTGCTCCATATTCATTAACCATCTGTCATCAACACATGATAGTCTTGATACTGATAGTGCCATTATATAACTAAAAAATAAAGGATGAGATGCCATGTAGATTCTGGTACATCATTACCAACATTTGGAGAACGCTGCTGTCTCCCACTTCAGAATAGTAGATGGCAGCAGAAGGTTTCTCCAAAAAATTAGTTTATGATCTACAACATTACTTAGCATAAAATCAAAGAAAGCAGTATCCCTAGTCATCACTCTGAGAATTTCATATCTTACATGTCTCATTAATTTTAAACTAAAACATTTCAAATATTAAATGCCAAATTCAAGAAACAAAATCGAATGACGAATAGGAAATTCAAATATCAGCTTCTAGAATTATAAATTTTGGAACTAAGAAGACTGAAAGAGGGACTGAGAACTGTACAATTTCAAACAGATTCAACATACTCCAGCACCAAAATGTAAAACTAAAAATCCTAGAAAATTTCAATAAATCATCACTCATACTTCATGAATTAGATATACCGTCACTAAAGAAATATGAATAATTTAAACTATTAAGCATAAAAATGTTAAAAACAAACATAACGCATAAATATACACCACTTTAGCTTACCCTGAGAACTGGATCTCTGTATATAGCTTCTGGAAACCAAACATACCTACTCACTCTTCGCCCAAAGAGCCCAACAGTAAAATGACGAGCACTTTCAGCAGTACGTTGAGTTGCAGTATGTCGAAACTGTAATGGGTTGAAACCATAGTAAATTTATCTTATTTTTGTATGTGGCATACATTTATAAGGAGAAAGGTCTCAGGATGTCATACCTTAAATGTTGAATTTGTATAAATGTCTGGTAATATCTGAGGAAAGCGATTCTGAAACCTCTCTGCTAATTGGATCATTTCATCTTCACCCTCATGTGCCAGACGTTTCTCATCAGCTTCTTCTACATGAGGAGACCAGGCCTGTAGTGCAGCTATTTCTTCCTTACAAAGCTTGCCTGATAAATTAAAGAACAAAAACTAAAAGATAAAAAGTAGAAAAGTATAAACACCAAAAACATGTCATAATTTATGAAGTAAATTTCTTAATAATGAAATTTCATGTTATTCCTTGGAACATAAAATTTTATTTTAACCATTATGCAGAAGTATTATACAAAAAATTATCTGATTTATGGGTGTATTTTGCAACTGTACAAGAGCACCATATTTTTTTAACATACAGTAATTACTATGACCTGGATGAATGGAATTTGATTAAATTTGTGCAGTCAAAACTTATTTTTACCATTTGTTCAAATTATACAACACAAACCACTGCCCCATATGATGACATATGTACATGTTAATATTGAGCAAGCCTATATCAAAAAATGATTTGGACAAAAGTTTTTGCATTCTTAATAATATGGATACCATTTTAAAAAAACTGCCCCTCACACACCAATTTAGGCTTCAAGCCCACAAAAAAGAAGAACACCTAATTCTCACTACTGGCATTAACTTGAATTAATCCTTTAACTGAATAAAACATTTTGCCACTACACTGGTTCAAGAAATGGAAATAAACATAACAGCAAAATTAATTCTTAAATTTCAGCACATTAAAATTAAGCGCATTAATCTGTGAAGTACACGTGTGTTTCTTTATAGGTAAAGCTATCCCTGTAACAGTCCATGGTGGCCCATAGGATTGTCAGCTGTCAAGGCTCCCACATTTTCTCTAGACAATCAGCTTGCAGATAGCAGTAAGTTTTGTCAGCCTGATGGACTAGCCACCCTTAACCCCAAGGAAGATTCCTGGTGCTCATTTCTGTTAGAGGCTGAATCAACCCCAGGGCCATAATGTGACTGGAAGAATTAGGTCAATTAAAAAATCCAATTATATCATTGCCAATCAAACCCATGACCTTCAAGCTTGCAGCATAATGCCTCAACCAACTATCCTACCGCACTGCCCCAGTGTTTCTTTACAGTGCTACAACAAAAACTGTTACAGTCAAAAGATGAAATCTATGAATGATGTTGGCATGAAGTAGTCTAAGTTAATGACAACATTGTCAAATAAACCATAAACAAACTAATAAACAAAGTAAGCATGGATGTATATTCTGTGCATTGACAGTTTCTCAGACACATCTATTTGTGATATCCAATTTGGAACAGGCTTCCTGGTCTGTCACCGTTACATTCTCACATTACACATTTGCTAGTTTGTAGTAAATGAAAGCATAAAGGCATATTCCAGTGAAGAACATATTTTCAAAATAATTCTTTGCAATGTGGCATGCAATATGGGACTATTATACTAAATTTAACATTGCATATTGATAGCTAACTTCTTCCTGTATTTCATTAAATACCATATCATAAAACATTTCCAATAAAATTTGTTGATCTTAACAAACTCCACATTTTATCCTATGTGTCAATTTTTTTGTATTATAAACCATTTAGGAAAAAAGGCTGAACTTGATCTACATATGACATATTCAGACAAAAATTAAGCTCACCTGAAAAGTTAAAATGTTTAATAACTATGGAGATGAAGTGTAAGTAAACGGGTGAACATAAGTTTTCCGTTACGAACAAAGCTGTGCACTTTTGAAATGAATATATCAGCTCAGTTGCTGGCCACTACACATACCAGCTAAAAGAGCTCAAGACACCTGAGCACTGCATCTACAGATATTTTGTATACTCATTAATGTAATTCACACTGTGATAATAACTAGCCAAATTGCAAAACACACATTGGAAGTTAAGTATTTCAGTTCTCAACCTTACTACACGTTCATTATTCCCTTGTACTTGTCAGGAATACATTCAAATAAATGTATAAGAATTGCCACATTTACTCTAATTTTTCTAATTTTCCTTCCACATATTTTAAGGTAGATAATATTTAAAATGTTTCATGAATTGTGACTACATAAGTTGAGCTGATAAATACTGTCGCGTTTGCTAGGTAATGCGACAAGAAATTTGTGCGGGTTCTTGGATTTGAACAAATATTTTTTATTGGACACTCACTGTTTACACTCACAAGCACAATTATTCCACTTATAACGCCCTTTAGAAGTTTCGTCTTCAATGTTACAATTACTTGCACCACTGATCTTGGTGAAGTGTCTTCTGCTCTGCTCAGAGCTCAACTGCCCTTAGCTCCTTTGTCGGATACGAACTCATTTCTGCTCTAGTCGAATAAAACTCTTCTAGTCTAGTTGGATAAGAACTCTTCTGTTCTAGTCAGATAAGAAATCTGCTGGTCTCTTGCCGAATACCAACTGTTATATATTGCACTCGGACTGAATATAGAACACCTTGTCAAAGAGTTCATTTTGCCTGCTGCTATGCAAATGCTGCTTCAAAAATTCGTTGCTGCAGGAATACATATCTGCCTCAAACAATTCATTTGCAATGGTGGAAACACCACTGTTAGACTTTCATTTCTGGGGAAACTATTTCCTAGGCTTTGCTGCCTAGGAATTGCTAGCCGTTGTATAGCAATGGATGCATTCTGATTCCAAATAATCTGGCCCTAGGTTGCATGCCACAATATTCACAAAGAAAGGGAAAAAGTTGGTTTCATTATTTCTCTAAAATTACTAGAATTCAAATGGAGATATACAGCTGTACAGCAATCATGGGTAGGTTTGAGTCATTCATGCACTGCCCTGCTTTTAATCATTAAAGGTAACAGGTAAAGCTATCCCTCTAACAGGCCATGAAGGCCCAGAGTGGTGTGAGAGGTCAAGGCTCCCACATCTTCTAGACAGTTGGCTCATAAATGGCGGTAAGGTTGTCAACCTTACGTGCTGGATGCCATTTATCCCCCAGGAAGATTTTTGTACTCATTTCTGTTAGAGGCTGAGTCGACCCCAGGGCCACAGTGCAGCTTGAAGGATTAGGTAAATTGAAAAAAATCCACTTCAACAGGACTCAAACCCGCAACCTTCCAGCTTGTAGCATAGTGCCTCAACCAAGAATCTAAAAACTATATATATATATATATATATATATATGTATGTATGTATTCAAGGGATATAGTAACTCTCTATGGGGTTTAGGAATGGAGATTGGATTTATTGACCACTTTAACACCCAAATTGTAACTAAACTCAATTACACTCATCACTAATTTCCACACATTAAATATCACTATAGTGCACAGACTAGTGTTCTCAGTCTGTTACAGTCTCCACTAGTCATTTCCTGGTAATGGATCTTAAAAATGGAGATTCTTCAACTGCACTGACCAAGTCTTCTGTTCACAGACTCCCTTACAATTCTCTCAGGTAACTCCCAGGCTGGCAGCCATTTCACACCAGTCTCCTAGTCTTCTCTTAACAGACTGACTTTCAATTGACTACTGAACTCATTGCTCCAAACCGTCCTAGTCATAATACCTAGGCATTGATCATGTAGAAAACACCCTTCCTCTGTTGCCATTCATTGTTGCTTATTAAGAATCTGCTGCCTAGCAATGGACATTCTTCTGTTGTATGTTTTGTGGCTGTTGCCTAGAAACAAATGTTATTTCAGAGCCATTCACTAGCAACGGCTGATTCTCTGGCTCCACAGTTCTTGCTTTGAACAAATACGCCACAACATATATATATATATATATTTGGAATATAGTATGTAATTAGACTATTAGTTATTAATGATGATGATCATCATCAGTAATCTGTCAGACGACAGGTCCACAGTCTCTTCCAAAACAATTCCTCCACTTAATGCGATCTAGAGCTTTCTCCTTCAAATGACAGTATCCTCTTCTGTCCCCAAGGTCATCCAGCATCTTCTTACGTCTTCTTCCTCATCTTCTTGTCACTTCTATCTGCCCCTCTATCTTTCCTTCGATAACGTCTTTTAGAAGGCAGTTTCTGCGTAAAACATCACCAATCCAATTAGCCTTCCGTTTTCTCATTTCGTGTAGGATATTCTTCTGCTCACTGACTCTAATTAACACTTCGCGAACCAGACGCCTAGGCCTAGGCGTTTGGGTTTTAAACGTGGCAGACCGGTCGCCTAGATTTAGGCTTTTAGGACACTTTATGTTGCAACACACTATTCCTCGCTTTGGTGGCTATGTGTCTGTAAAAGTACTGCGTAGCTGACCTTCGGAATGTTTGTTTTCCGACTCAGCAATGTGACCACTCTCTATTCCCCTCTCACTCTAAAGAAAAGTCCCTTTGTTCAAGTAGAAGCTTCTATGTGTGAGGTAAGATATTCTCAGTGTCAACATGGCTCAGAGACAAAAGCAGTTGAAGGCCCTGCGAGCTCTCAGAGAAGAAGAAATCTGTGATTTGATCTCCGATGAGTTATCTGACTTGCCAACTGCTTCGTCTTATGATAGTGAGGGCAGTGTCAGTGGCAGTGACAGGGGCCCCCAAAATATTGTGACCCGAAGAGAAAGTGAACGTGACAGTGAGAGCTCTGATGAAAGTGCGAGTGCTAGCATTGCGGGGACAGCCACATGGGGTAAAGTGGACAAAACACCCACTTTGGGAAAGTTTACTGGTGATCCAGGGGTGACACAAATGCCATCGGACCCTACGCAAGTGTCTGAAGTAGCTGAACTGTTTTTTGGAGATAGTTTCTTTGACATGTTGTGTCAGGAGACCAACAGATACTATCTCCAACACCGTGAGGCGTATGACAGTACCTATAAGGTGCTGAAGTGGTTGGATGTCACTTCAGCAGAAATGAAAAATTTTTTGGCAATAATCATTCTAATGGGGTTTACAAAGAGGGATAATTTGAAAGACTATTGGTCCACTGATCCATTTTTAGAAATTCCCATTTTCGGCAAACTCATGACTCATAAGAGATTTGAACAGATATGGTGGTGTTTGCATTTCAATAATAATGAACTGCAACCACAATCAACGGGCAGGCTTTTCAAAATTCAGCCCTTATTAGACTTTTTCGTTGAGAAATTTCAGACAGTTTATAAGCCAGAGCAGCAACTGTCTTTGGACGAATGTATGATTCCTTGGAGGGGAAGGCTTCGTTTTCGAACGTGTAATCCTGGGAAACTCACAAAGTATGGCCTACTTGTTCATGTAGTCACGGAAAGCACTTCAGGCTATATTGGAAATTTAGAAATTTATTCCGGTGAAGGCAAGAAATTGCAAGAACCTATTGTTTCCATTTTGGATCCCTATCTGGATCAAAATTATTGCGTTTATCAAGATAATTTTTATAACAGTGTGGCAACTGCAGAATACCTACTTTCAAGGAAAGTACGTATTTGTGGTACAATTAGGGTGAACAGAGGCCTTCCTCCAGATCTGAAAGAGGAATGTAAATCCCTGAAATGTGGTGACACCATCTACTCCCACCCCACGGAGGCCTCATATGGACCCCCTGGGCGACTCTTGAGTGATATGCGGAAACATACCCTCGTGAAAATTGTGATGAGCAAGCAATCGACGGGGAAGTATCCTTCTAGGCAGTGCCCTGTGTGCGCTGTGCACAAGAAGCGAAGCAAGACTTCCTATGTCTGCAAGTTCTGCATCATGCCTCTTCACAGAGGGGAATGTTTCCAGAAATATCACACTCTGAAGCACTTCTAGGAGCTCTGGTAAGTCTTCTCCAAAAATTTTAGTTCATAAAATTAATTAGGAGATTTTATATTAATTTTTAAAGTGAACAGTGCACAAGTTAGGGTAGTAGGTTTAAAAACNTCCAATTAGCCTTCCGTTTTCTTATTTCATGTAGGATATTCCTCTGCTCTCCGCGAAGTGTTAACACTTCTTCATTTCTCACATAATCGGTCCAACTGATCTTCTCCATCCTTCTCCAACACCACATTTCGAAACTTTCCAGATGTTTCTGATCTACTGCCCTAAGTGTCCATGTTTCAGCCCCATACAGAGCTATGCTCCAAATGTAGCATTTCACTAGTTTCTTCCTCAAATTTAAGTCCAATTTGCTGGTAAAAAGATTCTTCTTCTTGCTAAATGCAGCTTTTGCCATGGCAATCCTGGATTTA